TCTATCTTGTTCATAATTTTATTTTATATATCTCTTCTAAGATTAAAAAAAAAGCTAATTTTATATTTTAACGTATGTTAAAAATTAATAATGAACAGTGTAAATGAAAAAAAGTGTAAAAATTTTTTACATATTTAATATTTTCTTTAAAATTTCTATAGTGTCTTCAGGATTTCTAACTGAATATCCTTTAACTCTTTTGTCATTAAATATTTCATAATCATTTCCCCCCTAATAAAATGAAAGGAAAAATAGTTGAAAAATCTTATGAAATATAAAAAAGAATATTTCCAATACTTAAAAAAAAAAAAACTTTTTAATTTTCCTTACTTCTTCTGTTCTATCACCAAAAAAATATATTTCACTGAAATTTTTATCAATATGTCTTAAACAAAATCTTTTATCCCATCCCTAAAAAATTTAATTTTTTGTAAGTATCTTTTGTTGATATTATTATTTATTATTATTATTATTTTATATTATTTCCTTCTATTTAATTATTATTATAAAATATATATATATATATATATATATATTTTTTTTTTCAATAATTGTTGATACTGTAGGAAAACAATCTATAGATATCTGTCCACCAATAGAAAAATTCAAATTAAAGCCTTCAAATCTTTTAATACAATAAAATAAAAAAAAGGAAATAGTAACATCAAATATTAATATGTACAATTATTGTATAGAAAATATTTAATCAAATAAAAATAGTTAAATTATATTAAAATGATTTTATGAAAGTATTTATATTACTCCTTCATTAAATTTAAACGAAAATTTTTAAGTATATCATTCTTCATATTAAAAGAATAAAACTCTTCTCTCTCCTCTTGAGAACAATTTCTCCCTATTGGGCTAATGTTTATTATACCATTTCTTAACTCTATAAATGTTCCTCTTTAATAATTAATATTTAATTAAATATATAACTTTAAAATATTTTTAATTTATCCTTTTTATATATTTATTTTTTAATTATTTTCTATATAAGCATTTCAATAGATATATATTATTAATATCTATATTTTCATTTTTTTTTTTTTTTTTTTTTTAAATTCTTACCTTTTTTTTGGTATTTCTAAATTAGCTATATATATTAGGCAATGGTTTAACAATTTTTTTAATTTTTCTTCTCCTAAAAAATTAACTATGCTCTATTAAAAATAAAATTGTTTAATTTATATGTACAAAAAAAAAAACAGTTAAATAAAAATAACAAAGGTAATATAAATCCATACTTCTGAAAAATACTGTTCATTGTTTTTATAAGCTACTACTCCATTTTCAGAAAATATGTAATCAAAAATTTCCGGATCTTTAAAATAATTAGTATAAAATAACTTATATTAATGTAAATATAAACATATATTGGTAATTAGAAAATGTTACAATACATTAAAATGCATACATTATTTTTTTTTTTTTTTTTTTTTTTTTATTAATCACATTTGATTTGTTCTAAAATTTTTTTATGATCAGAACCTCCTACAATACCTAATGAACAATTTTCTTTTGACTTAAGTTTTATTAAAATGTCAATCATATTTTTTTCAATTATCTAATTCGCAAAATTAAGAATTTATGTAAACGTAAAAAAAAATAAAATAAAGTAAGGCTAAAGAAAAATGTGTAATTATAATTTATTTCCTTTCATTATTGATACCTTTCTTGAATATGTTAATGTTCCATCGACATCAAACAAAAAAAATTTATTTTTCTTATTTAAAACCATTTTACAAAATCTTAGATAAAAAAATTAAAAAATAAAGAGTAAAATATTTAATACTAAAGATATTTTTTTTAAAATATGCTTAAAAAAAATGAAATATAACATAAAATATTTTAAAATTAAAATGAAAAAAAGAATAAACTCTTAGAAACCTAGAAAATAATTTAATCTATCAAGTTAAAATTAAATTTGTATATTATATATAAAATATTTCTTAAGCACTTTATAAATGCTATTTATTAAAAAAAGTGCATCATAGTGATACAGGAAGAAAAAAAATATATTCAATTTTCCCTAAGTTAAATATGCAATAAAATTATTTAATTCTTAAAAGATATTAAATATTTTTTAGCTTTTTTTTTTTTTTTTTAGAATTTGGAAAAATATGGAAAATATAAAATTTCCTAAAAAATATTGAGATTGAAAAAAAAAAAAATATATCACAAAATCGAATTTATCAGTTTTAAGATCAAAATCAAGTTTTACACTTTTTTTTTTTTTTTTTTAAATTATTAGGGAAAAGAAAAAAAATTAATAAACAAATAACAATCAGTTTGTATTTAAATTTCAATTTATAAATAAAATTCTTATATTACATTAAAAACTCTTTTTTTCCTTATTTTTTAAAATAATATAATTTTAAGATATATATAAGATAAAAAATTTACAACTTTCTTTTTTCTTATATTTAAAAATGTTTGTTATACAAAAAATTATACAAAAATAGATCCTATTTTAAATATATAAAAAACAAAAATTTTAAAAGCAGGAACTATGCGTTTATATCATTAATATGTTATAGTTTTATAAAAATATTTTTTATAAATTTAATTATATAAAATAAGTGTAAATTTTTTTTTCGGCTTTATATTGGTTTTTTTTTTTTTTTTGACTTTTTCAAATGAAAAAAAAAAAAAAAAAAAAAAAAAAATTTTTTGCGCGTGTGCATAACTAGGTATTCTTAATATAGCTAGTCCTTTTTATTACCAAAAAGGTTAATGAAGCATTTTATTAACCATAAACATAANAAGTCTATATAAATTTTACTAGAAATTCTTTTTTTTTTATAAATAATATCTACAATCTATGAATAAATGTATGAATTTTTCTTTTTTTTTTTTTTTTTTTTTTTTTTTTTA